CATTAATGATCAGCAAGTTTTATTACTCAAGCATAAATCAAGATACCATGGATCTTTTAAAAAGTCTAAGAATATCAATAAGTTTTTTTTTTTTATAAAAAAATAAAATTATATAATACTTATTTACTTTTAGTTTTTTTATTAATTTGTAGATAAAAAAAAGTATACTTAGAACCTGTTGGCCTTTTTGAAAAATAAAGTTTAAAATCATGTACAGAACCACAATAACCTTCTGGATCAGGGGAAACTGGTATCATTAATGCATCAGAATTTCTGTCAACACCACCTTGATCGTTTTTTTGTGAATATTTAAAAAAATTGATACCACCATTTTTCATAAAAACAAATTGTGAAATTGATAACTTATAATGTTCTCCACCTCGTGGCTGAAACAATAAACAGCACTACATAAAGATTCGATATAATAAGCCTTGTGGTGTATTATTCATAATATTTTTATGTTGAAATATAAGTTTTAATTCATTATCATTCAAATGGTCGTGGTGATGCAATACTATTCCATCTTTTTTAAGTTTCTTCATTTTTCCATTAAGTGCATCCTATAAATGACAAAATTCTTTTCGGTTTGCAATATTAAAATTTTAATTTTCATGTAGATGTTTTAAAATATAAAAACTTAATAAATTAATACAGTTGACTAATGATGATGGTGCATATTCTTTTTGAGTTTGAACTTGACGAATTCCAATAATAAACTCAATCATTTCTCATACTAATTGCTCTTTATTCTCAATTATTTCAATTTGATAATTGTATCCAATATCATTATGCCAATTTTCTAAGATTTTAACCCATTTTGCAGTTGCTTTATGGGTATTTTCTGGAATTGTGCCTTTAATAATTGCATTGATCTCAACATCACTCAGTTTAGTATATTTTTGATTAGATCCTGTTTTTGCTTTTTTTGATGTTGCTTTTTCTTTTAGCATTTTTTTTTTTGTAAAAAAAAAAAAATTTGATAGAATTTACAAAACAATTCACTTTTATATAGAAAATTAAGCTTTCTAATTATAAATCAAAATAGTTAATTTAAATTATATAAACCCAATTGTCATCATCTAATGGATAATACTGTTATTAGATGTGAAATGCCAATAACTGCCATATTTGAATCAGAATTTAATCAATTAAAGGCTGGGCTCTGCAGGAGCCCAGCCTTTAAATTGATTAAATTCTGATCTAAATACTTTCCGTTATTTGGCATGTGTAATGACCATCCTATGATCCTGCGGATCACGAGATAATCATTTCAACTGCCAAATAACTCCAGTTATTGGCTGCTTCGCATCCAATAACTATATATTACTTGGGTTCTGCTATTAATCACTAATTTTATTAAAGCTTTTACTAACAGTGACTACAGTGTACTTCTAATTCTATAACTCTAACAGTTTTAAAAAAGAGTACTAATTTAGTATATAAAAACTTTAATTTTTAAGATTTGTTGTTGTTTCTTTAAACAATATAAAAAAATATTTCTATATCTTCTTTTAAAACATTATAATATTTATTTTTTTATTATTTTTTTTTTAAAGAGAGGTCTATTCTCTATCTCTTTTATTTAATAGTTAATTATACATATATTAGATACATGATGAAAAACTATACTAGGGGAGATGGAAGAGCTGCTTTACTCTTGACCCATTCTTTGCTAGAATGGTCACTAGTGAATCTATTATGACAAATTAACTTCAAGTTAAAATTTAGTTTAGAGATTCTACTAGTTAGACCAGACAATTTGATTCAATGGTTTGCATTACACTTTTCTCACAAAAGAGAGGTGCAAGAAAATGAAAATTATACATTATATTCCTCTAACAATAAGCATCCTTGTACAATTTTTTATGACCAAATTTCTGCATAATTTTTTGGAGATAACTACCGACACAGCCTTATCGACACAGCTAATGACTAGTACGCACTAACCTTAACAATACAGCGCGACCAGCATTATAGTTAAGATTAGTGTTAGAATACGGCAAAATTAGTGAATTAAATCACGTGCTGCTGTGTCGGTAGTTATCCCCAATTTTTTTACAACAAAATTCTCGTGATCCAGTATACAGACTCGATTCGATCACTAGATCACGAGAATTTTGCCTGCAATTTATTTTCAGAGTAGAGATGAGAACCGTTATTCGTTGACAAATAATAAATCCAGTGAATATCCACTATTATTGATATATCAAATAAATAACGGTTCACATCTCTATTTCAGAGGAATACTGAATAGATTTTAATTATAGGGAAATTCTATTTTCACCCGGGTTAAAGTCACCCGATATAAATTTTCATTATATTAAATAATACAAACTACTATAACCATAAAAATTCTATAGATTGGTTAGTTAGAAGTTAGGGCAGATAAATTTTATGAATTTATATTATAAAGTATAATAAAAGTTATGCATCGGGTGACTTTAACCCGGGTGAAAATAGAATTTCCCTTACTAATATTAATTTTTTGCTTTACTTTTCGAAAATATCGGACATTTACTCAAATTTTGGTCCCGACCTTGCTCTTCTTTTATGTTCATTTATTTTCTTTTCGGAAAATTTCGGACCCACATAAATTTGCCTTAGTAGATTTATTTTGCTTATGCAATTAGGGGAATTTCGATTGTTGTTTAACTTTTTGGAGTGGGGATGATGTTAACCGAAAGTTTAACTTCGAATAGCCTAATTCTAATTTATTCTTTATTTTTAGGGAAATTCTATTTTGACCCGGGTCAAAATGACCCTCAGCAAAATTTTAGGGTTAGTGCGGGCCAGAATTATATTGATGTAAAAACCCGGCAGGTATTAACATAATTCTGGTCCGCACTAACCCTAAATTCTAGGAAGGGTCATTTTTGACCCGGGTCAAAATAGATTTTCCCTTATTTTTATTTATTATTTATTATTTTTTTTATATTTTTTATTTTTTTTCATATTTTATTTTTATATTTTATTTTACCGGGGACCATCGAAGGGAGAGGGGAAGGTGATGTTAACCGAAAATTAATTTCGAATAGACTTAGATTTCTAGATGGCTATAATTTTTTTATATGTCGGGGGCTATCAATGGGGGTGATGTTAATCGAAGAATCAACTTCGAACGGCCTTATCTATATTAAGAAAAAATATCTCTAAATGTAGAATTATCTATATAACTTTTAGTGCTCTTTGCATTATAAAGATTCCTTTTGATGGAGTGTTAATTGCCGATAGTGATGGCATCTCCTATTATTGTAATATATTAATTTGGTTAGAAACTTAGAACCTTTAATAAAAATTTTTTGTTTTGCAACTTACCACGCACATGAACAAAAACTTTGATTTTTTGAAAAATCTCTATGAATCCACGTGGATAAGTAAATGCAATATTAGTTGGCATTTCTATTGCTTCATTCATTCCCCTGAAGTGATCTCAACCGGCTCTTGATTTATCATTAAAGCCATGATAGGTAGTAGTTTTTAAGAATAATAGTTCAAGTACGGATTTTGAACGAACATTATTCCATCAGCTTTATGAATGATATCACTTTGGTTATAAAGTTTTATTGTTTCACTGATAGAAATTAGCTCTACTTCACCACTATATTAAATTAAATCATGTTAGTTTATAAAAATAATAAGAATGATGATAAATTAAAACATACGGAGTGAAATAAATTGGGCCAGTCGTAGAAACCGATAAACAATTTTTGTGTATAATTGGCCATAATAAAAGGTAGTTGTAGCATACTTCAGATGTTGTAATTTGAGAATTCATGTTTGACTTAAACACATGAAATGCGCTAGAATAAATTAATATTATTTAATTATTGTCCGAAAGACATTACGGTGGCACCAGATCTCTGTGTGCGCAAATTACAAATCTCGATATTGATTTGTCGATCAAAAGTAAACAACCACGCGTATAAATTTGGTCCTTTGAATCATCAATAGTTTTCTATAAGACTCAAATAATAAAATATTTTAGCACTTACTAAGTTTAATATATTCTATAGAAAACAATCTCAACCTTGGGGACCGCTTTTTAAATTTCATATGCGAAATTTACATCCGTTCCTGGTTTGGTGCAACTGCTTATTATAAAGGTTTTTTATAAAGGCTACGCTTCTTTTTTCAATAACAGTGTCTAGTTAATAATTAATAGAGATGAATTAAAATGAAATCAGATTAAAATGAAATGAAAGATATATATATAGTGTAAAAATAGACAAGCCACCGAAAAATACACACATTTCATTTTAATCCGATTTCATTATGCATTACATTCATAACCTTTCTAAAATACACTGCTATGTTAAATTATATAATTCCAAGAGCATATAATGCTACTATTGTACTGTATATTACATCTTTGACATTATGCTAAGAGTTCATACCTCCCTAATCATCATAATCATATCTTCCTAAAATGTTAACCTTTTAAGACATACAATCGCATAAGTTATAGGATGTAATTTGGCATATTTGATATTTATATGCACCAAAAAAAATCCTTTGCGTATCATTATAAATTTAATATGATAAATTCTAAAATCCCAAAATTGATATGATAAACTCGAATTATTCAACCGGTTCTAACCTCTAAGTCGAAACATGGTTTTTATAATCAAATTGAATTATTAGTTTTTTTATTTCTTCGTTTTGCTTTGGTTACGTAAGACCCGGCGATCACATATAACTAGGTGATATCACCCCGAAAGCAAGTCTTAAAAAGGGGATGTTAAAATATTTCATAAAATAATACAAGTTATATATATAATTTATATTATATGTTATATTATAGTGTTAAATAAAAGGGCCAATTGTTTTGTTATAATAATCATTTCAACAAGGATTATGAAGTTAAACTTAATTATTAAACATATGAACAAAACAAGTAAGTAAATAAAAAATAAAACAAATATAACAAAAGCTAGGAATCAAATGTACAAAAAAAAACAATAGTTCATACTAAAAAATATTTTACATAAAAATTTTTTTTTTTACACAAAAAATTTCTTATTAATCAAAAATATCAATAAATTAACATTAACTTTAGCGACACCATCAAAAAGACTCATAACTTGTGTATTATTAAATTGACTTTGTAATAAATCTTCCAATCTAAGTTCCATTGAAGCACCAGGTACAGGAACGCCAGCAAATGAAGCTTCTATTGAAAATATTCCCACCTCATCTGATGATATTGTAAAACTAATCTTATCAAAGGTTGAATATCCACTGATAGAAAGTAATACACCTTTTTCACGTAATCGTTGAGCGGTATACTTGAATGAACCAAACCGAGGAACTTTACCAGATTTTTGAAGTTCTCTGATATGGAAATATTGGCGAGTAAATGGAAAAATTAATCGATGTTTTTTACTGAAAAATATTTAAATAAAAAATTTTGTTAATCGTTAATTATAAGGATTATAAGGACTATGAATTATATAAATGAAAAAAAAGCTTACCCTTTCTTATTAGTCAATTGTTGCATACAAACATCAATGTGATCATTATAAGTTTTAATCTGATCATCAAGGTGTACTCTTTTTTCATCCAAATTCACCAACGTTTGCCTTAATTGCCTTAATTCTTTTTGCCTTTGCACTCTCCTTCGATGTTTATTCCTGATATCAATAGCGATAGCATTCAACAGTTCTTGGTAATTATTCTTTCGGTAAATCTTTCTTTCTTTCTCAAGCCTTAATATATTCTGAAGTGTTAATTTCTTTAAATCTAAAAATTTCATTTCTGAGAGATCATTTGAACCATATATTGATTGACGTTCTTTCTTTTTTTTATCAGCTTTACAAATTTCTGCATATACTTTTTCATCTTGTTCTGTAACTGCTTTTACAAGTATATCTAAAAGATTTTCACCATTTTGAACTCGCATTACTAATAATACCAGACGTTTAGTTTCAACAAATAAATGTTTAATTTCTGCATCTGGATCATTCATTGCTTCTAAAGCCAATCTACTTGTAAGTGTTAATGATATTTCCTTTGTACCAGCATCATTTTGATCTTCTTCTATAGGTGGTGCTTCACCGAGTTCGTTAAATATTTGTCGTAATATATCATTAGGTTGTGGTGCTATATCTTCTAATCGTTGCATTAATAATTCATGCATTGAAAATACTTCAATTGGTGAAATATATATGATTGGCTTATTGGTTTTGGTTAGATCATCGAATTCATCGATACCAAAGAACGATTCTGCTTCACCAACTTCCGTAACTAGAAATTATTTCATTCATATAAGTTGAATATTTAAGTAAATAAAAAAGAAAATTTGTTATTATTACTACACACCTTCTTTAAAGAATTTTAAAAATCTATCTCCCGCATATGCAACATATTCATTCAATGGTTGGAGATAAATATTATCTTCACTAAATAATTTTCCTACAGAGATTTGGTTCAACATTTTTGAAATCTATCGCATAAATGAATTTAATTTTCGAGAATTTAAATAATTTTAGATATAGATGAATCAAGTATACACGCAAAACAAATATTCAAGATCAGTGTTTCAACATGACAAACCTCGGCCAAATTTTTACGTTGCATTGGGCTAACAACAGTATCAATAACATCAAATCCTTCAGGAGCCCTAAAAAAAAAATAATAACAATAATATGTAATATAACAATAAAGAAAAGTGTTATACAAATATTATAATAATATAATAACTAAAGTTATACGAGTATTATAAAAAACTTACACAATAGCAGGATTTAGGTAACGATAATAGATCAAATGTCCAACTACTCTTATTACAGAATCTTCACTTTCCGAAGAAAACTTGGTAAGCAAAGATTTTTTTAATTCTTTTGCAATATATCTAATACCAAAAGGTAATTTTCCAATCGAATTAGTAATAGTAGTTAAGAAAGTTTCAGTTTCTTTACGAAGTCGTTGTAAATGATGAATAAAAACAGTTCGAGTTTCCGGATCATTTAAAGCATCTTGTTGAGAAATATCCGATGGACGATTTGATGGTAAACCAGTTCTTAATTCTTCTACATTAATTAAATTTCGATAAATTTTTAAAGGATCAGTTTCCAAATCCATTGATTCATCATCCATTATTTTTTTAACTAATGGTGAAAGAAGATCTCTAAGAAATTTTCTTTCTTTTGCTCCACGATTATAATGTACAACTAATTTCATAAACATGAAATTTCCTCGTAAAAATTCTTGTAAAGAATCCATATTTTCTAATTCTTGTATCATACTTTTTTGAAATAATTTAAGTAATAAATATTCCTCTCTTGCATTTTGAGCGTAACCAAATAATGTCAATACTACTCCCTCAACTAATTTTTTGGTTTTATCAGGGAAACTCATTTTGTTCATAATAAAAAATAATTTGGCAAGATATATTGGTTGAGTTTGTAATAAATAAAATAATTGTTGATAAAGTTCTAAACGACGATGTGATACTTTATCAAGAGATTTTAATGAGAAAGGACTTTGGGGTGAGTTAAGTTGAGAAAGACGACGATTTCGTTTTTTTGGATTTGCTACGGCCAAGACTTCATCAATAGTTATACGATTTTTAATCAAAAGTGCTATCTTTATATCAAGTTGATTCAAAAGATCTTCGGATTGATTATTCTCTCGAATACGTTGAATGACAGCTTGGCGTAAACGTTCCAACTCTACATGGGAAAAAAAAAGTTAGAAGATTAAATAGAAAAATTAAATATTTATTTCAAAGCGGGAAAAAAATGAAAAGTTACCAATTTCTTCATCAAAATCAAAATCACTATCATTTAATAAATGAATAAAGTTTTTTATAGTTGTCACAGGAGGATTATTTTCTAATACTTTTATATCCATGAATTTATATTAATAAATTATCAAAAAAAATATATATATATTTGTAAATAAATAAAACATTTACTTAAACTCCTATAAGCATCACCAGCATGTTTAGCTCGGTATAAACTTTGAATTTTAATAATCTTGTCAACATTTTTTTGATAATGAGCAGATTTATCACGAAATTTTGATCGAGCCAACGCGCCACGTGCAAGGGACTGAAGCTATAAAAATATACAATAAATTGTATGAGTAAAATTGCAAAGATCGGTAAAATTGGTAAGATTGTCAAACATAAAAAAAAATAATAACATACGTTTACAGCCCATTTTTCTAATCTTTCCATTTGACTTAATCGTTGATTCCATTCTACACGTACTAACCATCCCCTAATCTGTGACTGAAGTTGTACTATAAAAGGCAAAGAATATTCATGTAAAGCGCGCCTTTCCAATAAATTTTTCCTTGCAATATAAGTACGTGCAATTGCTTGACATCGTACAATGGCATTCTGATTTTCGGACCAATATTTTGCCCTTTCTGAAAATAAGAATTATGAGATGAAAATTAAAAATAAAAATAGAACTAAATCAAGTGTTATATGGTAATACATACTTTCTTCTTCTGACATTCCTTCTGACATTTCTTTTGACATTTCTTTTGACATTTCGTTTGACATTTCGTTTGACACTTCTTCTGATTCCGCCATTTCCATGGGTGGAGGTTCGTTTAATTCAGCCGACAATATATTTCCAACATTAGCAAAACTTGGCATAACTACTCCTGATGCATCTAATCCTCTTTGTGTCAAATGTAATTGTTCATCTGTAAAAAAAAATTGAATGTTATAAATATTCTGTCTGAATATAATGATAATAATAATAAAAAATTTTTTCAACGCAAATATACGCATATACTTACCAGTAAATTCCAATTGCCCCACCAGATTTTTAATTCTAACCGCAAGACCTCTTCTTGACAACAAATGACTTATTATTGATAAAGCATATTAGAGTATATGAGTATATGAGTGAAACATAGTTATAGAGTAAGAAGTTTATAAAAGAATAGGTTAAACGATACCTTAAGGCATGTATGCAATAAATTACTTTTGGAATGTTCTTTTTTTCATATAAATCAGTTAATTCAAACCAAAAAATCTAAAGAATTTTCAAAACAAACTTTAATAAAAAAAAGTATAATGAGATTAAAGTGAATACAAAATACGGTAATATGAAAAAAGAACTTACTCTAGGTAAACCGATTTTTTGTATAGCAGCAAAAAAAAAGTTTATATTATCCGAATGCCGAAATTGTAATTTTTGAGACTAAAATAAATGATTAGTGAATAAAATAAAAACGAAATTTTATATTGATATATTTTAGAATTGATTAATTACTGTAAAGATCCTTCCAACAACCGATGGCTCGATTGATTTGGCCAATTTTGCAAGCACAATACCATATCTAAGGCTTTCCTCTAACATTATGATGGGATCAATTTCTTCTGCAATGCATGCTTCTATCCATCTAATAATTTATTAGAATTAGAAATAGTAACATAGGTTAGAAATAGTGGCAATAGGTTAGACATAAGGATAAAAAATAGTGGCATAAGAATTAGTTAAGGATAGAAAATAGTGGCATAGGAATTAATAATAATAACAACAATAAATTGATAATTATAAATAAATTAATAACAGTAAATAAACTATTAATAATGATAAATGAATAATAAGAGTAACAAGAATATAATAGTAGTGAACTAATTATAATAAGTGAGTTAATAATAGTGAATTAATCATAATAATGGATCAATTAATGGTATCAATTGATGGTAAATTAATGATAGGAATAATTAACAAGAATAAAATTTATAATAATAATAATATGAAGTATTTAAGATTATTATTACTGCTTATTATTGTTATCAACTTATTATTATTATTATTAACAACAGTAATAATAATAATAATTATATAATTATAATTCTTAATTTAACATGCATACTCTTTAGCTTCTCCAATGTGGCACAAGTATTCATATGCCTGAAGATTTTTTCGTTGTTGATCCATCCAATTACGTGAATTACGTCGCTCACCAGTTTTTTGAAGACGAATACGGCCTTTTAGACCTATTTTTTTTTTAGTTATAAAAATATATATACATATTTTTTTTTTAGTTATAAAATATATATACATATTATATATATATATATTACGAATAGATAAAATTATGAAATAAATAAAGAATTTTTACTATTATTACATACCAGTAACATCCTCGGCATTTTCAGTTATTGTTGGAATTTGTAAATCTGAAAGATCTTTTTTAACCGACATACTAGATAATCGTCTAAGTTCGGCTACTGATGACCTTGATGGATCTCGTACAATCGATGTAATACCATTAAGTTTTGTCGAAGGTTCCATCATAAGTGAATTAGTAAACATTGGACTAGTTTCAGATTCCATTTTGATTTATTAAAATGTTTGATGTAATTTCCAAATGTATCGTTATTATCGTTAAATATCGTTAATATCGTTAATATCGACGTAAACGCAGTTAGTATGTGCGTACGTACAAAGACAATATATTTTTTTTAATTTTTGATCAAGTGAAAGTAAAAAAGGTTATGCATGCATAATTAGGAACATCAAAGGCCGAGAAGAAAGGATAAAGGAGATCTGTATTCAGTATCGAACTTTATTTTACTTATATCACGTGACTATGTAGGGGGGTTTCCTGTTTCAGGAAGGGCAGCGATCATGACGTACGGTACATATAACTAAGCTGATTTAGAAATTCATCATTTCCGCAGCAGGGGGGATGAGGTACACGCATTCAAGTGACTCGTCCGAATGTGTCACGTACGTACGTATGTACTTACGTACGTACTGGTACATATTGATGCTTAAAACCAGAACGTAATAGATAAATCAAAATATTCATATGTGTGCTGCAGAGCGAAAACCTGTAACTGATCATAACGATTTACTATGATCAGTTACAGGCTTTTGCTCTGCAGCACTCATATGCTTCCTGAATACGTACGTACGTACGTACGTACATGATCAAAAATCTGTATAATCCTATGTATTACGTACAGTATTAGAAAGTTATCGTTATTTAATAAAATAATACATAATAATTGATCATATGAAACAAATAAATGACTAAATATTAACGTTAAGCATCAATAAAAATAGTGTACAAGATTTAAAATATCGAAATGGGATTAAAAATGATTATTAAAAATAAGAGTAGAAACCTAAAAAAGTAAAGTAGATTACACACGTTATTTATGGCAGATATATTTACGTATATAGCATGTACGTACGTATTAATTTTATTAATAAAAAATATATATATAACGATAACAAATAGTTTTATTTATACGAAAAAAATATTGATAAAAAATAGTAGCACAAAAAAGGGTAGATCTGTTCTGTAGTTGATCTTTATACGTAAATCTATGGGATGGATCAGTCCGTTCGGTCCTAATAAGACCGGTCAATTAACGTTTTTTGGTCCTGTCTCGGTCCAAAAGCGGTCCCGACCTTTAACTATTCTATTGGCTAGCGGAATAAGCGATTATCTAAAATAATGAAGACTGGTCCGAACTGGTCTCAGGACCGGGGACCGGTTAAAAAGAGTGTCCTTATTCGATTTTTCCGGGGCTGATCCATCCCAATGTAATCCCAATGATGTCTAAATAAAGCCAGACATGCCTTTTTTATAAACAAAAGTCAAAAAAAGTCAAAAAAAAAAAAGTCTCAGTTATATTTAGGTAATCATCCGATATTTTTAATTTCTACTGTTTTCGAATGATTTTGGTAATTTCTAAAATTATTAACGTTAGTGCTTCTTGGCTAATGTTTTCTTGCAACATTAATTAATACTTTTTGGCCAATGTTTTTCTTGACGTAACATTAATTAATTAATACTTTTTGGCTAATGTTTTTTTTTTGTACGTAACGTTCATTAATACCGCCTGGCTAATGAATTGTTATTAAATGCATCGTATGCCTTTTTAAGAAAAAAAATGGTATATGTAAGCTTATACGTATTGGTTTATTTTTAAACCTTATGCACTCCATAAACACTGGAAGCAACACACTGAAACAATACTGCCAACACTAGAAATGCAATGATGAAGGCTACTAGGCGAGTTTCGAGATAGAATTTGAAATATATAGAATTTGAAATGCTGTATATAGAATTTGAAATACTGTATATAGAATTTGAAATAGAATTTGAATTTAAATTCGATTATTGTTAACCTTGTTAACCGATTCCTTTTTCTTTAAATAAAAAAGATCCCACGATTCGTGATACTACAGTAGTTCCAAGTAGAGGATGGTCGGTTTTGCGTATGAAGACCGACAATCCTGGTGTTTGGAGTTTCCATTGTCATATTGAATGGCACATTGAACTTGGTATGGTGGAACAATTGGTCTTTTCCCCTTCAAAATTAAAGGATTTCAAAGTACCTGATAGTGCTAAAGGCTTATGTAAAGCAGCATATTAAAAAAAAACAATTGATTTTTATTTATTCTACTTTTTTTTTTTCTCTTAATTAACGGACATTTAAACTTTAATTTTTTTGTTTGTCTTTTTTTTTTTTCCCCTTTAGACAATAATGTTTAAAATTTTTAAAATTTAAAATGTTGTATTTAAAATTTTAAAAATGTTGTATTTTAGAGTGTTATAAATTTTGTACTTAAATTTGTACTTAAATTTTACGATTTTAATAAAATTCATATCATCAAAACATTTAATTTAACAAATGAATACTTTTCAAATAGATGCGAAAAATCCTCTTTTTTTTTAAAAAAATGTTGTATTTTAGAGTGTCATAAATGTTGTACTTAAATTTGTACGATTTTAATAAAATTCAAAAATCAAAACATTTAATAACATATAAAAACCTTTCAAATAGATGCGAAACATCAATCTTGTTTTTTTTTTGTTTACGCAATTTATGATTCTTCACGTATAATAATTAGGGGTTTCAAAATTAAAATCAGAGAATCTTATTTTATTTTTCCGATTTATAATTCAACATAGTAAAAATGCTATT